GAGAGGAAAAGGCCGATGGTCCTCCCAGGAAGAAATTCCTGAGGGCAGGTCTTTACTCTGATGATTACAAAACTACAGAGTGAGTTGACTGAATCCATAAACAAACTATTATAATGAGGGTTTTTTTCCGTTATCTGTTTTTTATTTTTTGTTTGTTTGTTTAAATATTTATTATGCATCTTTCCTAGCCCCCCCTCCCAAACCCAGAAGAACTGCAAAGAGAACATGGAGTACACGCCAGGGGAGAACGAGTACAGCCTTTTACCTGCTCCCATCCATGTCGGTGAGTATATAAGAAAATGTAAACACTGCTAGTGTGCACTATGTTATTGTAGTAATGCAGCTAAGCTCACTTTATCTTCTTCAGGGAAGTACCTGAGGCTAAAAAGAATTCATTTCCAGCTGCCCTATGATGTGATGTGGCTCTGGCAGCACAACCAGGTACAGTCACACCAGATCAGAGTTTGCAGGGCACAAGCTTTTAAAAAAATGTCCTTGGATCTAACTTTCATGTTGTTTGGTTACAGCTTCACCGACAGCCTGCTGTCCCCCTGAAGAGGAAGCGGCGTTACTGTGAGTTGCCGCTATTACAGTGTTACAGCAGTTGTTAGATGTCGTCAGGTTTAGCGGACTTGCCGGATAATTTCTTTCTTACCGTGTTTCTTTCTCTCTGATTCACTCAGGCCGGCTGAAAGAGAGGACTGCATCATCTCAGCAGACAGCGGTGAGTTTTTTGTGGCTCGTGGTTATTTGATTCCAGTGATGAATGTTTTTGCAATAATCTGTCCCGAAGCTTACGCGCGTCTCTGCATTTATTGTAAAGGAGGAGAGCTCCAGTGACATTACCAGCTTGTTCCCGCACCTCGACATGGAGCCTTTGACCAGCAGCGAGAGGTATGGAAAGTACACGACGATTCGCGTTTCACATTAAACTATTTGTTGCGATATTATTGAACTAATGTCAGCAGTTAACGTTTCTCCATTTGTGCCGGGCCAGGAGCTTTGTGGTGAAGCACCATGTGTTCCTTGTGAGGAACTGGGAGCTGGTGAGAGACAGACAAATCCGGATGAGAATAGAGAGGGAGAGAGAACGAGACGCGGAGGGGGAGGGAGAGGAGGGCGACTCACGACATCTGTCCTGTGAAGGAGCCAATGGGGACGACAGCCACATCAAGTCAGGTCCATGAAGCAAGTGTGTGTGTTAGTTTTTGTTTCTGTAGGTGTTCGTGTATGCCCCCGTGTATGTGGTTTAAACTCTATACATTTTCATTTTTACCGTGCAGACTTCTTTCGGCGTCTTGTGTTGTGTCTTTTCCTCCACGTGTGCATGTATGTGTACGTGTGTGCCGTACAGACCGCCGTCCTCACAAATGGCTTGTCTCTGCATATCATACTCAGCAACAAAAACTAAGTGGTTTTCCAACCACAGAATTCAGCCTGCAGAAATGTTTCCCCATTTCTGTCATCCACCGCTGGTGTCCAAGAACCCAGCAGGCATCAACTTTCCCCATTAACAGTGAAACCACACACAGTTTCCATCAAAGACTCCATGACTGATTGCAGATAGAAATCAAGGGGAAATAAGGACACTTGCATAATTACAGACATTTCTGTAAAAGAAACGAGCACAGTTTTCATTCCCTCCTACGTCGCCTTCACTAACATACAGAAAACTCTTTGGCCTTTGACCTTCAGATCATCCAGTGGGGGTGGAAGTGACGGTTATCAGCAGTGACCCCCCCCACCAAAGTCAGGACACCTCCAGCTCGTTCACTGCCAGCCCCTGTGTGAGTCAACAAATCTACAAACATTAAAATATATATATATATATTAACAATGCAAAAATTCCACAAGGATAAAAAATCTGCTTTTGAAATTAACTGTGCATACTTGTTCACTCCAGCCCACCAAAACCCACAGCAGACATGAGGAGGAGGGAGAGGAAGAAAAACAAGGGGAAGGAGAAGTTTGCAGCAGAGAACAGAGGAGGAAACGGCTGAATGATTTACTTTTGAACCTGCAGCACTCATAAGCTAAAAAGAGGGGGTAAGTGAAACGTCTGCCGCTGAAGCAGAAGCCAGAAGTATGTGTACTATTTAGCTGACAGTATCTTTTCTTTTGTGTAGGTGGGACCACTCTGAGAAAGGGACCAGGACCCACCATTGGACAGATGAACTGATGTCACAACGCTGCTGTTAACAATGGCAGTCCCGCAGAGAAAAAGGAGACGAGATCTGGCGAATTATACCAGCTGAAAATGCAAAAGAAAGACATCTCAAACGCTGACAGATGAGTGTGTTGAACCTAGCTTTCTGAAGGGCATCCGCATCAAGGATGAAACCATGGCAACACATCTTTTGTCCGAGCGGTGAGGGATGAGAGAAACAGAGATAGACTGTCCCGTATAAAAGAAAGAAAGAAAAAGAAAGAAAGAAACAGACCAGCTGAAATGAATTTGCACTAGTGCTGATTGAACAAGCACACTAAAGACTGTATGTATGCTGAGTGGACACACTATAAACACACACATACTGTACACTTTGATTGCTCTTACTTCAGCACCTTAAGCAAATTTGGGAAAGACGGACATTGCAGGGGAGTTTGGATATGGACTTATATGGTACTCAGCATTTCAGCTCCGACGTTTCCAAGAGACGAGGAGCTCGCAGGCTGCCCAGAGCAATACAAAATGTAGCCTGGGCCCTAAGTAGGTCAAAATTGAACGCTCATTTAGTTGGTAAGCTTTCAAAGTCACATTGCACCTTTGGGAAAATGACACGAGAGGAGACGTGAGCCAGTTAAAAGCTGTCGAGACAGTGTTAGGGGGTTTTCTTCACTTTATCAAGACAGTGTCTGCTATGTACCAGTGAATAGGCAGGGGAGGGGGTGGGCTTAGTGATAGGAATTTTGGCATCGCTGCAAGAGAATTTCTAATGAGGTTTTAAGAAAGAAGTTATTTTTTGGAGAAAAAAAAAAGACAGCTCGAGTCGTGTCCGCTAAAAGAAATGGACGAAATATATTCACGATAGGAATGTTTATTGTTAACTATTTTCAGTATTGCTTCTGAGGGAGGAGAGGTGGACATGTAAAAAGTGTTTTTGTTTACTTCAGACTGCCTTTGAGAATGTTTCACTCTTTGCTTCAGAGCATTGACAATCAGAATGTCCTCGGCAGGAGGGAGGAAGGAGAGCGGAAAGGGAATGAGAATCGATTTGCCCCAAATGCTCTGTAGAAGTGCCATGTTGTCTTGTGTACGTACCTAAGCGAACTCATGCAGTCTTTAAAAGCAATATCTCCTCTGATAAGGACTATATAAGAACTTCCTTTTTAAGAAAAACAAAAGAAAAACAAAACAAAAAAAAGTTGTGAATATTTGAGGATTGGAGGTCATTTTTCTGTACAGATGCAAAGTAGTTTGTTCTCATCTTAGGAACATCGGGCTAATCCACTTATTGGAAGTAACATAAGCGTTTAGTTACGTGTGAATGTACAGTACATCGAGAGACCTGTTTTCTTTCTGTCAGCAGTAGCGTGTAAAATTAGTATTATACACAATACAGTCTGGATTATACATGAAAGTTAATAAACCTTTCATTTTACTAAGATGTTTTTAAGAAACTATACAGCTGACCAATATATCAGACATTTTTCCTTAAAGTTGACTATGATTGTATATGATTTATTTTGTTTTGTTTTTTCGTAGGACATAACTTGTCTGTTTGGGTTTTCTTTTATTGGTTGTTTTTATTTGATTTTTTTTAGCCGAGCGTTACTTTTGTTTTTGGTCAGACAATCAGTGACAGTGACTTAGTTTTTCCAGTGTTACATTTCTGCTCTCTTTCAGTAGTGTGGCTTCTAATAACAAGCCAAGAAAGTGCAATTTCTTTGACTGTTTACATACTGTATGTATATTTTTCCCTCTTTCCTTTTTTTAAACTAAGAGCACTACATTATTGCCAGTGGATGATTAACTTTATAGCAAAGGTACACGTAAAGAGTTATTTATCTAGTTTGCATGACATGTAACCTTTGCCTGTTGCCTCTGATAATGTGCTTAAAAAAAACAAACAAAAAAAACAGTGATAACTCAACGCCATAGAATGTCAGCTCAAACTTTTTGCCTCTGTATCCATAATAATAAAAGCATTTTATGTCTACTAGTACTAAACCCTGAATGCTCGTGGTGTCTCAGCTTAAAGACCTCCTTCTTGCTTTGTTTACTATAAGGGGACGGGGGTTAGCTCAAGCTGATGAAAATCAGCTTGAGCTAACAGTGCTATCTAGTGGCGTTAGATTGTATATCTCACAATGTGTTGTCCTCCATAATGACCCACAAAGGAGGACGCTACCACAGAAACAGTTACAAGATGGGGGAGGGCTGCAGCTCACCCTGGAGACGTTTTCTCCTCTTTCTGCCCTTCAGAACGTCCAAAAGACACCCAAAGATCTTGATCTGAGTAAATAAAGTGGGAAGATTATGATTTCTCAGGAGCTTAAAATAGTTTTCGTGTTTGTTTTTTTTTATTGTTGATTTTACAGGATACTACATTATGAGCTTTCCTCATTTCCTCTATAATCTTGCACATTTCAGACATCAACAAATAAATGAAATGTAATTGATATTAAGAAACATGCAAAGTGCATGGCTCATAGTTCAAAATAATCCTCATTTATCTTACACTGGACCTTGTTTAGATGGACTGCTGTCCTCACAGTCAGAGCTGTGTACCTGAGATGTCTTAATTAAGGGCATCACCTCTCCATGACAACATGAAGATCCAAGAAAGATCCAGAAAAACCTGACTGAACTGAGAATATGGCTCATTCACTACCTCCACATAAAATAATCTCATTATTTTAAACTTTAGCATGTTTACTTTGAGCATCCACCATTGTAACACAAAAACAGGTTCTCTTCAGTATAGGGCTGAGGTTCTGGCTTAATAGGGGATTTTACATGAACTATAGTGCAAAAAAAATGACTCCAGCAGGTGATCATGTTTGGTTTATACATATTTTATTTGGTGTATTTACAAACAAGCACATGCAGGAGCTGAACAGTGACTGACACTAGAGGGGCACTCTATACGCAACAGTAGGACAACGGGATGTCTACGGGCTACATGACACCAGAGAGGAGGAGAGGGAGGAACAGAACTAACTGTCACTCACACACACAAGTGAAAGTGCAGGATGCGCTGACAGAGAAGTGCTCGAACTCATCTCTGCTTTCACTTCATATACACGCACATACACACGGCCATGCGTGCATTTTCGCACACGAAAAACCCGGATAATTAGCGAGCTATTCCTTTCAGAAACCTCAAGATCAATAAATAACACATCCCATAAATAAATAGCTTTTAAACAAATGCATTTGTAATCTCACATCGGAAAGAAACAAACTAAACGTGTCTACTGATATTTTATCTGTATCTAGACTTTGTTTCTTTTATTTCTTTTAATCACTTGTGTTGGCATTTTTTTTTTCCTGATAATGAGTTATGACACTGGTTTAAGTTAATGCTACTGGACTGTTGCCAGCAATCGCATGCTACACTGAAACTCTGGAGAACTGATCTTTTCCCTGATCGATCAATAGCAATGGAACTTTCCTGCTGATTGAATAGAGGTCCTTTAGCGTTAGCCTTTCCTGGCCGCTTAAAAATCGCGCTCCTTCTTTTTTTAATTTAAGCACTTATCGTTTTATGCTTCCGATTTCCACTTACATGATAACATCAAATTAAAATCGACTTTATAACAAACTAAACACACTTTTAGTTGCGCATTTAAATATATGCATAGTCATAGATACAGATAACTAATAATTATGTGACACAAAACAACAGGTTTTTTTTTCTTTTCATTTAAGCAACAACAAAACAAACAAATCACTTCCACTGCTACCACTACCATTAATATCAATGATTATGATCGGCAAACATGGGGTTAAGATAAATACAAAAGCTGAGGTACGAGGTGAAGACCAGCCACCAAACCCACAGACTTGTAGCATTTATGAATCGACATCACATCTGGGGTTTTTCTCACTGCGTTCATTTGAAATTCAGACAGTGCCGAGAAAGCGGGGCAGACTTTTGTGAGGGTTTTTGCTAAAACCCACGGAGGCTCTGTGAGATTCTGGCTACAGGTCGCTGTCGTCTATAACTTTGTGGGATATCTAAGATGTTTTCATTCAGAGCATTCGTGGTACATTACAGTGCATACAGAGTTTAAAAGGTATGAGCTAAATTTAATCATGTTATGAATATGATGACAATGGCAATACATAAAGCGCACAATAGGGAAGATACTGGATTGCATACTTAAAATAAACACATATTCATTTGTATTTGCATGTATGACATCCGCTTCGTGTTGTTGCAAATGTAAAGATGAATAATCACTCCATCAATACGGCTGCAGCCTTAAGCTGCTACTTTCTCATATTTATCTACCTTTCTATCTATCTTGGTAATATCAATCTCGTTTTATATAGCTATATATTTATATATATATATATTTTATATGTATATTTATACAGTCAAATACAGTAGCAGAAACATGTCAAACACACATAAACTAGGTGAGAAAGATGAGAGGTCAATAAGGGTAAAAGGTCAATAGAACGGGTCTACACAGCTACAGTTCACTACATTACTACGCAGTATGCAACAGGAGCTACGGCCCACTACTCCAACATGCTTTCCTCACTCGACGACCTGCAGCCAGGCTGTCGACCGCCGCCTCCTTGCGACAGACAGCCGCTGATTTGAACGCACTCGAGTGTGACAGACTGCAAAGAATTTTGGCGATCGCTTTCAGATCAGCGGCCGGCAAGCAAGGCGGAAATGGAGAAAAAAGGCATTTGAAGGGATAATTCACTCGAGGATCAAAGGTCTTCTGGTTTGAAATGATCCAAGTTTGAGTCGAGTCATTATTTCGCACCATCTGCTCAATTCCTGCTGCTAAAATCTATTAGTTGAACACTACCAAACTGAAATGATTGTGATGGGAAAAGCTCCAATATGTTCATAACAGGAGGGGGAGGGGGGGGGGGGCAGCAGATTGCCTCTGATGCACATAAAGCACAACAGATGGTGTTATACCCTTAACTCAAACTGTAACCGAGCCTGTGTGAAATATCCCTTTCAGAGTAGTGCAGCCTTACCATAACCTCTCAATACTCACCTAAAATATATATATATATATATTTTATAATTATTTATTGATTTTTTTAGTGTTGATTAAGTGCAGCAGTTATGGTCACATGATGAGAGAGGTGTAGCCAATAGGTACCAGCCCCTCTTTGTCTCCCTGACGACAGCGAATCCAGTCTTGATCGACGCCTCCTAACACCACGAGCTCCTCCCCTTTGCGGAAGCTGAGCTCGGAACCGGATCCAGCGTGGTCACACAGCGTTCGCACCGACCTGGGACAGAAGACACTGTCTCAGCCGCAGTGATCGACGTTTACACCAGCCACAAAGAGTAACGTCAGCGTATGATGTCAGACGGGATGAGTCACCGTTTACAAGACTTCAGAATGATAACAACAGCTATTCTGGTGTCTCTGGTATAACCCCTGCCACCCTTATCAGTGGGGAAAAATATTGATTTGCAAAAGAAAAGACATAAAAATAACTGTGTCACCCACTGTGACTATGTTAGTCTTTTGAAAACAGATCTGGGTGAAAAATAGAGGACACTGCACACTCACAAGGCAGACAAACCCTATCATCTAATTTACTCTGGACGGAAATGTAAAATTTGACTTGAAACCAGCGATTGAGACCATAAAATCATTGGGACAACTTACTGATATCACGGGTCAATTGTTTTCTCACAGGCATGTAAACTATGGGGCTTCTCAGATGAGAAGAAAGCATGCAGATTTGAGGCACTAGCTTGGTATCACTACTCATACCTTGAAGTTGGATCTATCTTTCATATGCAGACTAGGATCCCACTTGTGTAAAGGTCTGACCCAAAATTACACTGCTGTCATCTGATTTTTGCCAGTTTTGGGCTTTGAGATGTTACCATTCACTTAACAAAGACAGTCTACATCAGGGGTGTCCAACTCCAGTCCTCGACAGCTACTGTCCTGCAGCTTTTAGAAGCATCCTTGTTCCGACACACCTCAATCAAATGAATGGCTTGTTATCACCTTTGCCAAATTGATGGTGTGCTGAAGAGGTAATCCAACCATTTGATTCAGCTGTGTTGGATTAGGGACGCATCTAAAAGCTGCAGGACAGTAGCTCTCGAGGACTGGAGTTGGAGACCCCTGGTCTACATTATAAAGGCCAATATAGGTCATATAAATGTATTTAAAACTTGGAAACAGAATCAGCGCTTGCAACAGCAACAGTGAGAAAACAGCAATGCTGTGTCATTGCTCCTTATCCATCATTGCCATCACTTTATGTCTGCTGTACCTGAGTGGTCTGGGTTTGTCCTTCATCTCCAGTGTGTCGACATCTTTCTCGGACTCTGATCCGGTCTCTCCCAGAGTCTCGGGGATCTTTCTCAGCATTGGTGTGGAGCTGCTGCTCACCATTCGGGTCAGCGCAGTGACACCAGGTGCAAACCACTGAGAGGGACGTCTGAGGAAAATTACAGAAACTTGGAAAATTACAAACAGACATGAGTCACAGACAATTGTCTTCAGAAGCTGATTTAATTCATTCAACAGAGGATTTGATTATCAGTAAAACCTATTTCTGTAGTCTAGACTACATAATAACTATTACATATTTAATGACTGACCTGGTTGGTTGTGTGTGACCTGTCGGGCTGGTGGGAGTTTTGGAGGCTCCAAAGAGCCGGCCCAGACCCCAGGGAACCTGAGTACTACCGCTGACTGGAGTGTAGTCGCTTCCTGCCTGAGCCTGGAGATCTGGCAGATCTGTGTTCATCTCATCCTTCTTCACTGCAGAGAGGCTCAACTCAGCCAGATTGTGACTCAGTCGGCCTCCCCAGCGCACCACAGCACCCCATCCCTGTTGAATTACCTGTAAATAAGAAAAAACAGATAAATTAATTTCTGCATAATCACACAATCATCATTGAATACAAAGGCAGAGGAGTTGAACAGTTGTGGCTACCTGTCCTGCCTGCTGAGCGAGGCTGTCTTCCTCAACGTTAGGAGGAGGCAAATCTTCAATTTCTTTTTCCTGGACCCACAACAGTTGAGGACTCGTCTCCTCCTGAGTGATTGAAGCCTTTATGGGTCCAAAACTGGTATCTGTTGACACCGCCGATCCTCCATTATCTGAATTAGTCACAGGTGATGATTTAGCATCTTTAGCTGCCTGATGATCTGGGCTTCCAAAGTCTACTTCTGAGAGGCTTTCACTGTATCTGCTGTCTGGAGTTTTGGATTGAGACCCATTTATTGCTGTCTCATTTGTTGAAAGCTGGGATCCAGGATCTGGAAAGGGGGGGCTGGGGATCTCTGGCCTGTGACTCTCTGGCTCTAAATGGTGGTGCTGGAAGAGCAGGTCGAGGTTGAAGGTGAGCAGGCTCAGAGGCTGCAACACAAGGAGCAGCTCCTCAAACAGAGGCTGGCAGGCGGCCTGCGACAGACGCATAAAAGAGGTGGGGTGGTAATAGGTCTCCAGCACATCTGAGAAAAGAGAGCGCAAGAGAGAGAGGTCAGTTTCAGTATTTACATTCATGCTTGTAACCACGACATGAAAATAATGGCATTTATCGCTGCTGTCAATGTAACGTTTACAGAATCCAACTAAACAAATTCAGGACGTAAACACATGTCCACAGCTTTTACAAGAATATTCTCATGAATTTTTTTCAATGAAATTAATATGAGGAATATTAACAGCCTCTAGAGAAATATTAATGTTTACCTCTCGATCAAATGCAGCCGTATAAAAGGTTTGACATGCAAGAATAAAGTCCCAAATCCAATTAATAGTATTTTGCCATTAAGCTTCAATATTTTAAAAGAAATACGTACAAATTTCAACAGAACAAAATGCTGGTCATTTGAAAAATATTAATTAGTCCTGTATAGCATATATCTACATCAAGAAAACAGCCTGTTGATGACAGACTTTTTCTGCTTTCCCGCGTCATCTGAAGTGCTTCGCTTTCCTTCTCTCTGGATGATTCATTTACTGAATCAATTGGAGATCTTCAAGTTTGAGAGTTAAAAAATGTGTAAAAAATGAGTCTGGTTGCTCAGCAGGTGACCACGTACACTATGGTCAGTGCTCGGTGGGACAGGTTGAGTCTGACCCACAGCCCTTTGCTGAGTGTCTTCCCCCTTTCTCTCTCAACACTTTCCTGTTTTCTTCTGTAACCTCGTCTTACAGTGTCGCAAATCACCTGCTCTAACCTTTGAACTGTGGACAGGTTCTTTTTACATGAACGCGTGACTGCTCTTCTCAATCAGCCCGTCAAAGCACCTGCCGTGGAGCTCACCTTTGCAGGAAATTCTGAAGTCACTGATCAGGCAAGCGGTCTCCTGATACTCTGAGTTTATTTCATTTATTTATCAGAGAGGGGAAAATCCCCTGCATTTGCATCCCCACCCTGGCAAACTGCACCCTGCTCATAACTGCAACAACTGCTAGAAGAGAGGAAAACTTACCACTGCAAGACTGAAGGTAAGACAGCCAGAAGTCAAGAAGCTTGGTACTACGAGACAAAAACAGAAAGAAGATGAGTAACGAGGATACGAAGAAGATAAATGCACAGAAATTATTATGCAGTTTAGGCCGGATTTACTAAGTGGAGCAAATTACCAAATGCAAAAATGCGCCCATGGGAGTGGAAAGTTATGTGGGTGATCTACTAACAATGTGCTAATTTATAAACAAGAATGCAGGCAGTTGATTTCAGCATTCTGCAAGAGCAGCACAAATTAGCAGGTTAAAAACAAGCAGCCTCGATGAGGGTGTAGTAATACAGTGCAAGTACAGGTTTTACTCAAGTGTTTCTCTCTGAAAACAGTGAGAGAATTCAGAAAAATGATATGATAAGGAGAGACAATATCTGTAATATAAGGTTGAACTCCACTGTTAGAAATGACTGAAGACTGAGTGTGAACCTCAGGACTGAGACTCAGGTGGAGCGCAGACGAGAGCTGCGTTACTACAAACTATGTGTAACAGCTGACCTGCACCATGTGTAGGAGAACACAAATCACTATTTATTGTCGGTGTCTTATTGAAGATACTGTTACTGTGCCGCTATGTAAGTGCATGATCTGCTTTTTTGTTTCCTGCAGGCTGTATGAAGCGCTAAATACTTATTTCAGTCAATATTACATATTGTAAGATGAAGACATTTTTCTAACACATTAACAAAGATCCCGTTTTCATTTCAGCTCCACATTCCAATATGGTATGTAACAGCTCTGATAGAGAGAAGCAAAAATAAATAAACAAACTGAAATGAGACTAAATGCCTAAAACACTGAAAACCATCAGCCCACTCTAAAATATAACTCTGTTGCCTATTTAACATCAGGACTCTCCTCCTTCAGTTCACTTCAGTTCGGTTAAGTTAGGCTCCACTTCATCAAAATACCAGTATTACTACGGACCACAAATATGTGGAGCTCAGATCTAAGCGTGCAGAGTTAAGACCGAGCGAAGAGTTACAGGATGTAGCCAAACTTTTACACGCACTCACAACTTTGACCCATCCACCCATGTCGTTACGTACTCACACTGGTATCCTGTCATTCCAAATAAATGAACACTGCTAATGCAACTATCACAACAACACCAGGCACAAAATATAACAAGTCTTTTTTCTATGTTCAATTTACTGCAATTTGAGGTAAAATGAATGCCACAAAAGGGTTCCGTGGTTGCGCAGAACCATTAGTAAATCTGGCCTTATGAGTGCAATAATAAAATGAATAACGTGCTCTTAAACGAGTCGTCAGTGGAGATCAAGGATTGTTAATAGCCACTGCTTACTTCAGTAGGCCGAGGAGGAATGCGTTGAACCTGTGTTTGCTCTGTCTGAGCTGGGGTAGCTCTCCAACTCGAACTTGCAGACTGAACAAGGCATGAGTTTTAGGACCTTGGAAGATCGGTTGGGAGGAAGAGGATAAAATGCACACAGAGAGAGAGAGAGAGAGATCAATGAAGGACCTTACAGAAGTGAGTGAAAAATTGCTGTGAAGCTTGGCACTCGTAGGCCAATCAATATCTGTGTCCTGGTGTTCACTTTATTCAGCATTTTAGACGATAAAATCAACAAGTATTAACTGATGTGGGAGAAAAGTGGAGACAGACGAATTGCAGAGTTTATCACTATCAACCAGGAAACCAAACCTCAAGAGGAACAACAGGATAATATCTGATTTTTAATATCCACAGCTATGATGCATGATATGCTACCTGCCCTGGTTGAAGCCTGGACCAGACTCCAAGCAGAGTTTGGCCTTCTGCCTGCAATCAGGTCACTCTGGTAGGGTTTCAAGCCATCAGTCAGCAAGCTGTGGAGGGCGGGGCAGAGGCACTGCAGCACCAGACGGCCCAGTGATGGATTTATAGCGCTGTCTCCTGATAAGGCCTGAGGAGAGGAGAAGAAAGGAAGGGAGCACGGTTTGGGGGGGGAAAAAATGGGTGTTTGGTGAGGAGGAAGATGTGCAGCGATTGGACAAGAAGATGAAAAGGATGACTCAAAGAGAGAGGGAGGGGTGGAAAAGGGGGATTGTGTGGTGATGATCAACATGATGTAATGAGGGACGATTTGGGTGGTGAGTAAGCGGCAAGTTGACAAAGAAATTCTTGTGACTAAGAAACTGGGTTATCTTAAGATACTCTAGTACCCTGTTAACTGAGGAAGACTGGAGGAAGGCACACAATGGTCAAAAGAAGAAGGAAGAGGGGAAATATTTTCAAAGGTAAACAATGAATTTAATACACCATGACGTTTAGCCAAAAAAACATGACTAACACAGTCCTTCTAGCTACTGTCATCAAACCAGCAGGTACTGACCTTCTGAACCACAGTCCTTGAAGAACTGAACTGGGCCAATATGGCTTCCACTGCCACACTAACTGCGCCTACCAGGGCTAGAGAGGAGAACCGGGTGTAAAAAAAAAAAAAAGCTGGTTAGAAGAGAGTGCACAAACAAACAAACGCACATCCTGCACATGTACATCCAACCCCACCTTTCTTTTCCTGTAGGCACAGAGAGGATAGGCCAAGACCTCTCATTGGATGCTTCACATCCTCGCCCATCCAGGGTGTGTCTGTCTTCAGCACAGAGCCAGCGAATGAGACACTGCGAACAGCTGACAGCGATGGTAAACAAAACCCCAAATAAATATATATCGCAATTACTTTGTATGCAAGTGATTAAAAAAAAATACAAATTAACAAACTTAAAAAAAAAAAAGAATTGCCACCAAAAGAAACAAAACAACTAAAATATTAGCATTATTAGCAGGAGCAGTTAAGCAATGAAGAAGCCAGATAGAAGCAGATGGAAGCAGTCGTTACTGCTGACGACAAACAGTGAGCGAGCACATCCTGTAGGATTACTGTGATGAAGTTTTCACAACTGGATCTGCGAACACAACTTTTTGTCTGCTTCAGGGCTAAACAGGATCCCATGCAATTAACCTCAACTCACACAAACACAGTTATACAAATACTCACATACTTAATATAGGCATACACGGAGGAACTGCAGAGCTAGGAACAAACAAGTGTAGGAACTACCACAAGAACCAGGTCAGAAGAAAGTACATCCATGTGCAAAGGGTAGGTGTAAAGTACATTTTGCTGTTTATATAAATGTATTTATATAAACTAGATCGATAAATGCAAATGTGTACAATGGACAGGATGCCGGGGATCTTAACCGAACACAGAACAAATAAAAATGAAAACTTTATTTATTTATTAGCATCACATCATCATCGAGCAGCTACTTGAGGTTCGCTTTGCATGAAATGCACGTGTCTGTTTGGGTATACCATGCAAAAACAAAAAGACAACAAGAACAACATCGGGACAAAGAGACAGACAGGTGAGGAAAGACAGACAGAGAGAGAGAGACAGTGACGAGAGTGACTCTAGACACCTTGTGACAGAAACAGCTGTTACCCTTCTGAAGGCCCTTTGCAGATTTGAAAGGACAGAGCAGATAAGACGTATCAGATGGCCTACAGGGACGCGCCTTCTGATATATAAAACAGCTACAGTTACCTAGTTCTTTCAAATCTGCAAACCCCCGGGGCCATAGGTGACACAAGCGTGTAGGCCACCACATCCAGACGAGAGAAGAGAGACAGAAATAGAGACAGACAGAGAGACAGACAGACATGCAAGCGAGATGTCAGACAAGGAGAAAAAGTGTAAGATGTATGGAGAGAGAGAGATCTTACTCGCCACGCGTGACTGCAGAGGAGCCTGGTAGAGTTTTGGGGGTAGGGGGGGCGCCCTGGGCGGTATAGGAGGGTAGAGGTTTGGATAGTAGAGGGGAGCAGCGAGGGCAGGCAAGGTGTGCGAGCGAGGAAAAAGCGGGGAGCTGAGGGAGGAGCCTGCTGCACCGGGAGGGGGTGCTCCGGAGCGATGGGGAGGGGAGAGGGCTCCGATAGGAGAGAGGCGGGGGGGAGCCCCCCTGTGAAGAGGGCAGTTCTTAGGGTGGTACAGGTAATAGGTGGGGAGGGGAGGGAGATCTTTGGATGTCCTAGCCTTGATGCTGACCTGGTCTGTGTGTGAGAGTGAGCGCTTCTCTGAATACATCGAATCCCTAGCACCGATGCTGTTTGAATACATCATCATAACATCAATATTCTTATACGGTGTGGTGCAATCTGGAGCTTCAGCGGTGCTGCTAACAGACACGGCGTTGGCATCATTCTGCTTCTCTGAATCACTTTGGTAAAGGGAGTCAAGATTGCAGATTGAGTCAGTTGCAAAGTCCCTTTCATTGGTTTTGGGATCGCTGTTATATTGGTAAGCTGAATGTGTGTTTTGCTTAAACTTAGCCCCACAGTCACGTGGAGACTCTACACCAAAAGCAGCCGGGGATTCATCTTTAAACCCAGAGCTTATAAAAGAGCTCGATTCATTTCTGTGGATACAAGCTGAGTGGACAGCAGGAGTCCACCGTGTGTTTCTGTGTGTGTCTGTGGGCCCTTGGCCTACATGACTGCGGGGCCTGGGATCTGCAAGGGGGTGGGAGTAACAGTAGCCTGGGCGAAAGGAAGGGATAGCGGTGTGGAGGAAGTAGGGTTGGGAGGACTGGGCGAGGGAGAGCGGGGGTGAGGAAACTGCTTGGTTCAAAGGGAGAACAAGGCCAAAAAGTGCAGGAGTTCGGATGGAGAGGGCAGACGCACAAGCATAAATGGTAATGAGGGAGCGATGATGCCAAAATGGAGACAACCGAATGGAAACAAACCAAACGGGATGGATAAGTGAGAAAAACAAGGAAGATAAAAGTAAGAAAGAGGCGGCAAAGAAATGGGAAGGAGAGAGAGATGCAGAACATGTTAGTGTCTGTTGAGAGAAAAAATGCACATGTGTATTCTAGCAGTCATCTTCAAAACACCATGCAGTATTTATTCCAGTCAAACGTCTGATTGACAGTTACACACCGACGGTGCATGGAAGTCAATGGAGCTGATTTATGAAGAGCAATAAACACAGTCTTTCGCTTAGGAGGGGTCTGACATCACAGGAAATGACACGGAGGCTGTAAAAGAATAATTACGGAGCAGTCTCACAGCTGCACGGTAGAAGGACTCGGTCTGCCATTCACTCGCTTAATTCATCATAATTAAAATGCCATTCCTGAAGAGTCATCCTACTACAACACGTGTTAAGAATCCACGTTTTCTTTGTGACATCAGATTTCTGTTTGACACCTGAGAGTTATAAGTGATAACCACAGTCAGTGACTGGTGTTGCTAAACGTTTTATACTTTACTGCAGTGCGTGCTGTCATCACCTCCGGATCACCTTCTTGCTCACTCTCTGCTTTTAGTTTCTATCTCTCTCTACCTTCGTCCCCACCACCCCTCCCTTCTCCACCAGTACAGCAAAAACTGTACTGCTGAGTCAGTCAACAGATAACAGATTTCTGTTCCTTTCTGCTCAATCATCAGGCCCGCCTTTGTGGAAATTCAGAGTGGCACCCCGACTCTCGTTACACTGTATTGACCTTAAACTAAAAAAGGAGCTAGAAAGCAACCATACCTTGGTTAGACTTGAGCTGTGTCTGAACTGCAACAAATACATGATACTTCCTAGTTTTCTGAACCTGGCTAGCAGTAATTGGTCCATGTACTAAGATCCACCCCTTCAGCTCTTAAAGGTGTATACACCTATCCCCCAAACCTACCTCGCTGCAGTGGTTTTGAAAAAAGATCTGAAACTTTTAACCTATAAATTTTTAACCTATAAATCATTTAGAAAAAATAATCCAGTCTTGGTTTTAAATACCCTGCTGTACATGAACAACTTAGTTTTAATGTAGCCTAATGTAGGACCATATGAGCTACGTAACCTGATCTGAGCTATCTGTGCTGCTCCAGGGAGCAAAGGGTGGGGTGTTGGGGTGGAGACAGCATAAGTAAAAACACATAAATGTCCCAAAACTGGGATTCAAAACTATTAAAGAAGCAGAGAGAGAGGGGAGAAGGAAAATATTTCCGGATGCCCACAAAGAAAGAAAAAAACAAAAACAGGAAACAGGAAAAAGTCAGATTTAAAGTGAGGAAGGTAGTGAGCTCCATTATTCCTCTCCCCCTCAATCTGAAGAGTGGATGAATAATTGAATAAGTCTGTGATGACATCACACACTGATAACCCGTACAGGAAATACTGGCTGGAAAGTTTCCAACCTCCCCTTTCTCCTCATATTACCTTCACTAGCCTCACTATATTCTTCCATCTCTTACTGTTGTGTTCACATTTCTTACTGCCCTATCTAAAATCACCCTGTTTATCCCCTGCCATCACATCATTGCATCATCCTTTTCAGTGACTCATGTTCCCGCTCCATCTCTCTTCCGTGGCTCCATTTATCATTTCCACAAATGAGTGTACTTTTTTTTCATTTCCCTTGGCTTTCTGTTTCTTTTCATTGTAATGTCAAAGGATATTATTTGTGCATCACTGAAGAACTGAGCAAGATGACTGTGAGTGTGCCTTTTCCCCATCTGTTCCTCTCCATCATCTGCCCGTCCCAGATCTGTTCTGTCATCCAATTTGCTCTGACTTATTGTAGTGTGTTTACTTTCTTCTATGCACATGCACAGGCAGGAATGTACTTTGTGTAATTGAATATAACTTCCAATTTACTACCATTAAAATCACACTCACCTGAAGTTCTTGATTCAAAAGTCCGTCCTCCATCAGCTTGTCCTCTCACCTCCACCTCCTCCTTTAGTTTGTCCTGCCCTTCTTTTTCGTCCTTCTTAATTTCTTCCCACTCTCTGTCCAAGGTCCACAGGCTGCTGTCACTGACTGAGCAGCCAATCTTCTGTGATGGGCACAACTCTAGTTGCCCCCCCTCCTTATCAGCTCTCTGGAGCATTTCCTGCAGAGCAGCCATTGAGGTGAGGGCTGGCGGCGGCTGCATGAAGAGGGCCTGAGCCTGAGAGGTATACTCCCACTGGCTGCCATCACTTCCCTCCTTATGTTTCCTCCACTTTAAGTTGTAGAGTATATCTGGATCTGGAGTGATTATTGTGGGGTCAGGATCGGGCTCAATGATCACCTTAGTCGGAGGAGAGGAGCTCTTGTTGCGGAAACGCAACTCTTTAAAGGTTGTGACCTTTGGAGCTGACCCTGGAGAGGTACCTGACGAATTGGGCTTCTTTTGGGTTTCCACATATGCCTTTCTCTTTTCTAGGGATGGCAGCTGTGGTGGGGATTCACACTCTGGTGTGAATGCTATCAGCCAATCAAAACGCTCGGGTTGTTCAGAGTTGGCGGGCAGAGTGCTGACTTTGAGGGATGGCAAACATGGAGGAATGGGTGGCAGAGGGCGAGGGGGAGGAGGAGGCGGCGGTGACTCTGGTGGCTCAGCAGAATAACGGGAAGCTCTAAAGCTCACATTCTTTGCTTTATCTTCATGTGTATTGCTTAAACTGTAGTACTGCTCGAATGCGAAGCCAGTGTTTTTCTTCCTTCTCCTTGCCATCTCAGTAAATGACGTTGTTCTCTGTGCGTCTCTGCCCTCCTCTTTCTTTTTGCCTTCTTCAGCTATATCTGCTTTTTGATCTCCCTCCAACTTTTCAGTGCCAATCCATTGATCTCTGGCCACCAGCTGTGTGTCAGGCTCACTTTCCTCTTCTCTGTACCGCAGACTGAACTCTTGTGACTCCAGAGATTTAGGTTTCATGAAATTATCTCCATCTCCCTCGTCTTCTAACCCCCCGACACAGACACCAAGCTCAGGGCTGAGTTTGAGGAGCTCGGCTTGGGTAAGTCCAGCAAGCATGAGCAGTTTCCGAATCTCTACATCCAATGCGTGGAAGGATGGTGGAGGAGGCAGCGCAGGTGGAGGTGGTATGGCAGGAGGAGAGGAAGAGGAGACAGAGATAACAGGTGGAGGAGGGAGTGGTGGGGGGCGGGTGGTAGGTGGGGGGAGGGACATGGGGGTCTTTTCCTGTTCGGCTTGAAGAGCCGCGAGGCGCTGCGCTTCCTTCCGTGCGAGGTGTCGCTTTCGAGGTGGAGGGATAGGAGGTGTTGGGGTGGGGATAGAGGGAGGTGGAGAAGGGGTGGTATACAGCGTGAGGTAAGGAACTGGCTTAGAAGCAGGGAGAGGAGGAATGGATGGTGGAGATGAAGGTAGGGATTTCTCACACCTAAAAGTGGTGAATGTGGGGGATGAGGAGTTAGGTGAGAAGGTAGACAATGTAGGAGAGGTGGAAACAGCGATGGAGGTGGTCTCTCTGCTGATATTTATGTAGGTGTGGAGGTCCGAGCTCACACTGGCATGTCGCGCTGGAGGTTTTGGGGGTCTTGGTGGCGGTTCAACAGGGGAAGGTGTGAGGGAATCTGGAACAAGGGGATCTTCACAGTCTGACGGAGCGGTTAAGTCGACCCCGGCATCGGAAAACTCCTGAGATTCTCCCATCATTCCATCATGTGTTTTATAAAGCTTCCAGGGAATGTCAATGTTGCCCATTTCATCCATGACATCCGAAAGGTCCTGCTCATCCAGATCTCCAAGATCAAGTCCCTTCTCGTGGAGTCTGGCAATGTAGGTCAGTTTTACTTCCCTGTTCACCTTTTCCAAACGATCCAGGTGATCTAAGCGATCCCGCAGAACATCCCAGTGCTGTTCCCCGTCCAGATCCCAGCGAGCCACTTGGATCACCTGGCTGAACCGCTCCATTTTCCCAAATTCTCCGACCGATTCTAGAAAGTCAAGCAAGCCTAATTTGGTGACCTCAGAATCATCTTTGACTCCTAAGTAGTCAGGGGAAGGTGAGTCAAGCGCAGAAGGGTAACCCTCATCTGGGGAGCAAGGTGGACTCGGGGAATGAGATGTTAAACAGAAGGGATTTCGGTTCAGAGGGAGGGATGGAGGTGAGCGAGCAGGAGGCTTGCTATCAGGGCCTTGTGGGAGAGAGTGGTCTTTGGAGGAAAGAGAGACGGACAGATTGTCTTGATCTTGGGAAGAGCAGATGGAGGCAGATTGATCGGCACAGTCAGACTCCAGATCAGAACAGGAGCTGATGGAAGTGGAGGAAGAGGAGGTAGAAGAAGAGAGCGAGAACTCCAGGAGGGAGGGGGGACAGTCGCAGCACGAGGGGACCAGGGTGTCATCATCTTCATCGTCATCGTTATCGTCCTCTTCATCGTCAATCTCAATATCCCCGCTGCTCTCTTCCTCATCATCTTCCTCCACCTTTGCATTTTTCTTATTGTCTACTTCAGTGTTTTCATCTGAAATCTTCTCTTCATTTTCCAGACTGGCAGCAGGGCAGGCAGAAATTTCCATCTGGGCCTTTGCCTGTGCCTGCTCCTTGGCCCCGGTCCCATCCTGCCTCAGGGGCATCGGGGCCGGTGGAGGCGGTAGCTGCAGTTGATGTCTGAGGGAGATGGTGTTGTTGTTGTTGTGGTTGTGGTTGAACATGCTGTTGTTATCCTGTGGGGATCGGCCATCACAGCATAGACACGGGAGGCTCGGCTCATTGCAGTTCGGGTCAACAGGAAGAACCGAGGGAAGCGGAGGAGGCGGATCCGCTGCGGGTACAATTTGAGTTGCTGCAGATGCACGGGCATTCTTGGGTTTGGGTTTAGCTAGTTTAGAGACAGTAGAACCCTGTTTCTGTGAGCTTAACCTGGACTGGCTTACTGGAGCTCGAGGCTGTACGCCCACTCTGGTCCTGGAGGGAGCGGTGGGGCCCTTGGTGGCCCGGCGTGGGGACGGCGTGGTGATTGTGTTCATGTTTTTATCCTCCCTCTGAAACCCAGGGCCATGAGACTTTGGTGCAGCTAAGTTATTGGTCCGTCTGCTGACGTCAAAGCGCCGCGGTTTCGACGGCTGAGAGGACTGCATTGTGGGAATAGGAC